AGAAACTTGGACACATACACCTAGCCTGGGCTTCTTAGGTTGTTAGGCTGAATTTGCTTTTAGGTTGTATCTGTGTACGTTTGGATGCCTCATACYCCAGCATGAACTGGGGTCTTGGCACACCAGTCACAGAATCACAGAATATTCAAGGTAGGAAGGGACCTCTAGAGATCATCTAGTCCAACCTTCCCGCTCAAGCAGGCACACCTACAGCATGTGGCACAGGGTGCCATCCAGGCGGGTTTTGAAGACCTCCAGAGWAGGAGACTCCACAACCTCCCTGGGCAGCCTGTTCCACTGCTCTGTCACCCTCMCAGTAAAGAAGTTGCTCCTCACCTGGAGATGGAACCTCCTGTGCTCCAGCTTGTGGCCATTACCCCTCGTCCTATCGCTGGCCACCAATGAAAACAGCTTGCCCCCTTCCTCGCTGCATTCTCCCTTCCTGARCTTATACATRTTAATCAGATCCCCTCTCAGCCTTCTCTTCYCCAGAGAAAACAGGCCCAGCTCACTCAGYCTCTCCTCGTACAACAGATGTTCCATTCCCTTAATCATCTTAGTTACTCAAATCATGCTTAGTTGCTCAGTTCCCCACAGCATTAGGCATGTCATAGAATCARAAGCTTCCTTCTGCATACAACTGGGAATTGTGTACTAGCATGCTAAGCAATGCTTGTAACTAAGTAAATTTCACAATTTCATATATATATAAAGGGCATCAWACTCTGTAACTGTTTATTACAAGCTTCTTTTTTACCTTGGTGGCTCTAAACCAAATCTCATTTGCAAGTGGGAATGTGTTATCCTGGTTGGTGAATACTTGACCTTTTATTTCTACAAAGTAATTTATAGAAATAATGCCAAAAGCATATATTGCTGCTGACAAGGTGACACCGCAGCATTTCATATGCATATTTTCTTGGAAAAAATTCTTTGGAAAAAGCTATAGGAGTCCAATTAAACTTTATCACCTGGCTATTCATACTCACAATAACAAGACTGTAAAAAATGTGACTGTGACCCCAGTATGTGCAGAGCTTGGTCAGAATTATACAACTTGTGGACTTCATCACTTCCTCTATCAGGAAACTGCAAGAGACAAGACTTAAAGCAAATAAATTTTTGCAGTATAATGATAATGGAACATAAGTGCTTCACTGATAGGAAATGTACCTAAGTAATGTGCTGCTTTTTTTTTCTTTGAATCAAAGCCTTAGGGCTTAACATTCCATGTTTAACACTTACTGTTTTCTGTGATACTTATTTTTCTATTATATAAATATATCTATGATAATCATCTTTACAACATATGGCTGCAACTCAGACATTCATTAATTAACCATCAGAACATAGATCATKAAGATCAATAGTAGGGTTCCCTTTTTACAGATATTGGCAGGAATGTTCCTAGTGAAGTACAKGCTGCAATAGATAGAGTCAGTTACAGAACATATTTGTGATTAACTCCAGCTGTGTCCCACAATACCTAAAGTTGTCATTGCTTCAGGTTGCCCCCACTGACTGGGGCACCTAGCTTTAGAACTCAGAAGTTTGAAAGTGAAACGTTGGCCTGTTCTGCATTTCCTTCTCTTTCTGTACTGTGTGCGTATTTCTGCATGTCAAATACAGGTACACAACTAAGGATTTCAGGATCTTTAAAATATAGTGTTAATGTGATTTTGTTAACATCTTTTGACCAGCAGAGGGAGATGAGAATTTCAGATAAAAGTAACGTAAACACTAAGCAAAACRAGGAAAGAAATATATCTTTAAAGGCTCAAATATATCAGCTGTAGATTTTCATATAAATTTTAGTTTCGTTTCCCTAAAGCATGTAGACAGCTAAATATAGACCAAATCTGAAGAAAATCAGAGTTAAAATCCCTGTTTGCAATGCTCGATATTGTTGCAAGACTCCCCGCCTTCATCTCAAGGCTGATCTGGTATGAATAACAGAAAACACTTCTCTTAATACATTGTGAAAGTCCTACTGTGACTCTTGATTAAACCTAAAACACAAAAAGGCTTAAATCCAACATAAAAAAAACCCCACAATTATCTACAATAAAAATGTTCTATTAATTATTTTAATGAAATAAAAGCTTCAGATAGTAATTGGAAGCATAATCTACTTCTTAAATTTTTTTTCTAGCTAAAAAGAAGTCTTTAAAAACTGATACATTTAGCAGGAGCATAAGAAGATATTCTAAAGAGCYCACCCGAAGAACAGCAAACCATAAAATAGACCTGGCTCCACAGACTTGAGGGTCAACAGGATGATTGTGTCTTTGTTCATCTGCTTACAGCTAGTTTTGCCTCGACTGTGGTGGGGTTCATCTTTGCTTACCTTCCCTCAAATATTCTAATCAGTAAAATCTGAATGTCCCTACTCATAATAATAGTCATATTAATATCAAGAAGAGCATGGTGTGGGTATGGAGAGCAATAAAGCATAATAGCAGCATGGATTAATAGAGTCCTGAGCCATACAGCTATTTAAGAGCCCCCAGGCTGTATGCTATTTTTCAGCTCACATCAAGGAAAAGCTAGCAGAAGCAGTAATAAATCTATGCCATATATAAAAGCATGGAGGTAAGTAGCTGAAAAATGCCATTATCCACAAAGCAGCTCYGGCAGAGGGAGTGGAGGGGAGGGAGGCAGTGCAGTCAAGCACTGAGTTCTCTGAAAGGCCACAGGACAAACCTAGTTATCTGGTAGGTAGTACTTCTGCAGCTCTCTGTGGCTGTTAGAAACCAGAAAGATAATTTTATGTGGAAATAAAATGACRGATTCGTAGACACCAGGTGATAAATGAGAATGTGCAGGCTTAAGGAATGGAGATGAGGACAAATTTAAGATAAACATATCCCTACTCTTCCTTTGTCCTTCCTTTGCTGATTGCATACAGATTTCATGGAGTCCAAGGACTACCTATCTTAATGCCAACTTCACTCGCAATACTATACAGCAAGGATACTTCCAAGGACAGGTAAGGCCCATTCCTGATTCACAGTCACTTCCTTGTCTCTGTGCTGTGCATCACCCAACAGTATCTTCTCACAGSTCTTTCCACTGAATGGCCTGCAGTTTTCCATTCCCAGGTAAAGATCTAAGCATACTTACCCAGGCTAAACTAAAAACAGTGCTTTTTACATGGAGAATCATGAGAAAGCTCTTTGCAGGCAATGCCCAGTAACCACAATCCTAATCTAGAAATCCAGACCATAGGCCACCTATTTCACCTCCCACATTCCTGTTTCATAATAAGAGAAATCCATCACCCACTACCTACTTCAGAAGTGATGTGACAGCTGTAGGTGGAGTTTTTGGACCTTGCTCTCTCATAGCTCTCTGTTCACAGGCTACTCAGATCACCAGCTGCAATAAGGGAGAACAGAATAGCTAGTTTACTTTGGGGATTACTTCATTATTTGTTTGTATAACTAGGTGTGTGAACTTTCAGGTACAGGCATGAGAAGGACAAAATAAATCAGCATGGGCTTCCACAAATTGGAACATGACTGATACTCTGATTGCAGATTACAGAGAAAACTGATTACATTTAAGTGGTAGGGAAAAACAGAAAAAAACCTGTGAGACCTTAACCTTATATTCTCTGCTTACTGGATTACTGTTAGTTCTGATATTGTCAATCTGCACATGAAAAATCTGGTCTTAGAGCCAGAAAGAAAAAAAAACAATTGACTGCATTAAAGTCAATCAGGTGGTCACTTCAGTTTCTTTGTTTCTTGTTTTTTGGAAACTTTCCTTTAATTTGTACAGCGAATGCTACCAATTCGCTGCCTCCCACAATGCTTCAAAGGGGACTGCTTAACTCTGCTATTAATTGTATTAAAAAAAGGCACTCAACCTCTCCCTCTCCCTTTCTCTCAGTTCCACATTTTTCCTGCCTRACCTTTTCTCTATGTATATAGTATCCTGTACTGACCTTCCTTCTTCATCTCCTTATTCATTTATAGAGACAAACTCATAGCTCAGTACTTGGCTACAYGCTTTCACTTTTGCCCCTTTTGGACCTTACTGACCATGGGAACTAGCCCCCTTGTTTGGTTATGATGTGTGAAATGCCTTTAAAAAATGGGGATGTTAAGAAGCCATTTTAGATAAAAATGCTACCAGGCCATCCAAAGGATGACCAATAGGGCTTGAAGGATTCACAGTACTTGAGTGCCTTCAATGGAAGACTGAAGCATCACCTGTCGCCTAGCTTTTCAAAATAATTTTCTTTTAGGAACACAATCAATTCAAGATTGTGCTTGAGTTCAGCTGGAGTGAGCTACTTTTTGCCCAAGAAGAACATTTCCAATGCATACAAATATTTCAGGATGACTGCAAGGACTGGGAACTAGATGCTAAATTACAATGTTGGTTGCTAGCATAACTTTGTTGTTTGCAGTTTGCCTGGGGCACATCAGTATTTCTCCCAGTGTCTCATATAAAAATAGACAGTAACTTAAATTTCATAAATAAATGCTGCTTCAACATTCAGTGAATCCAAACTCTGTTATATCTTGCTAGTTAAGAAGTCAACCTGCCTAGATAATGCCATAAAACGAAAGTTGCTAACCCTAGCAATGAAACAGACCTTTAGATTTCTATAAGTTGTGTGCAGTATGTGATGAAAATGGAATCAGATTTATTTTAATTCACGCAGCTTTGTTGATCTTTGGTGTTAAAAGATAACTCTTCTATCAATGTGGATTAAATATTAGGCAAAAAATCAATTATTTCAAATCTACTGGCAATGTTACAGGCAAGTGTAAAACAATCTTGACGAAGCTATTGGCAGATGCTCGATGTTGTTACAGGTAAGGAGTCATAGTTTAGATGAGAATTTTAGAAAGTTGTCATTCACATGATTAAAAAGGAGTTCATAAACCAAGCTCATAAACTATTGGCTGCTGCAGCACCTCCTCCTCCACTCTCCTTGCATTCATAGGAGGAATGCAAACTCCACCCAAGCTTTCAGCCTACTTCTGCCCAAAGATCAAAGTGAGTGCAGTGAGCAATGTATCCAGGAACTGAAGACACTGAAGCATGAGAAAAATCTCTGCCTAGTTTCTTTTCCCCTTTTGCTTTTTTTTTGCTTTTTAATTTCATGGGTCAGTGTCCAGCCACCWACTGGACTTCGTGATCTGCTCAACGAATCTATATAAAAACAGGTGTGAGTAAACAAGAAAATGAAAAGAAATATTTGTGCCGATCTTGCATTTGAGAATGAAGTGTTTCCTTTTCCTTTTCTGACTGATACTTATATTTGAGGTGATTTCTGTACCCTCCTGTGCTTAAGCAGAACTTTCCCCTCACTGAACTCTGGGGCGCTAAAGGTTAAGGCTAACAACTTTTTATTTGGYAGAAACCCAGAAATGAAAAACTAGTTTTCATAAAACTATCTGATACATAGTAGATTCATTTAACTTACTGAAGTCTAAYGTTTGCTTAATGATCTATCTCGTTCCAGTTATTTATCAGCATCAAACTTCAACGTACAACAACTCTGAACTCTGAAAATAAGAAGTTCCAGGAGCAAAATTCAGAGGAGCTCTACAAACACTTTTGTGAGTATCACTTTGTAGCAGATATGCTATTTCTAATTATTCTGTTGTTAGGAGATGGATAAAATAAATAGGTCCCAGGCATGTCAGGATGATTTTCAGTTTAATTTCTGTGTTGTTTCTTTTATGCTGACTTCACTGGGAACTGACACATTTTCCTCTTTTGAATCCCACTACTTTTTCTTATCTTTCAAAGGCAAGCAACTTCCAGTCCGTATTTGACATAAATGTTTGTTAAAACACTCATGGAAAATGCTCATAAACATGGAAATAMGTTTTTTTTTCTCTCTCTCTCTCTTTTAGAAACTGAGAGAATGGAGTAATTTTTAGAATTGCTGGGAACCTACAGCAAAAATATGTTGAGTATTTCAAAAAATTAGATCACTGTAATCTATATAGATACATAGGTCTAATCACAGGCAAACAAACCAGAAGATACCAACTTCAGTCAATAAAAGAAACCCTGAAAATGGAAAAGGAAATTAAGATTTCTTTTCAGAACAAATGTTCATTTCCAATCCTTTCCTTTCAAGCAGTATGCAATGGCCTTGGATAAAATGGAAGATCTGAGTCTGACAGTGACCAGAGCTGAGACAGATGAAGTGGAAGGTATCACCTTAGCAAAACCAATATGCAGCATATGGGATCAAGTTTGGAACTTCAAAGCCAAACCTGATGATCTGCTCGTTGCAACCTATGCAAAAGCAGGTTTGTGTGCATAGGAGACATAAAATAAATATTTTGCCTACTACTTAATGCTGAAGTTGAAAATTAAGGTTTTCTATTGTGACTGAGATTTGTTCAATTCCAAAGCAGAGTTTTAAAGAGGTGAAGCTCCAACAGCTGTGGCTGAAACTTCTGATTATTTTAAGGAAAATAAAACAATAATAATCCATTACTGTCTAAGATCAAATGGTCAAAGTCTAATTACATAAACTTGTTGTTTCCACTTAGATTTAAGTAATGATTTAACAACACCAACACCTAGTTAAAATCAGTTCACTAAGTAATAATAGAAACTGGCTGAACTATTAATTTGGTTAATGACTTGGTACAAATCAGTGCTGATTCTGGAAAATCCTTATTTATAAATAAGTTATCAACAAATTAGCTCAGTTTATGGCAGCCAGTAAACCACCATTAATCTAGCTAACTCATACCTGTATTTAACTGGAGACTGGCCACTTAACTTTTGTATTACCATTTCTCTTCTTGACCACCCTATTATACTTATTATAAAGAAAAACAATGAATAACAAGTATCCAGTATTAATTCTGGATGAATAAAATCATGGACAATTTAGGACAATCAGGAATATTTGACAAACGTAATAAATTAGTGATAGAGTTAACAAGGATTTTTTTTTATCCAGTGGAAAAAAAATGATTGCTACACAAAATGATTATTTTCACAGGAAATGTTCTTTAGATAAAAAATTTAATTTATTTCAGGTATACCAAAAGCAAAAGATGGTATTTTGATCAGCCAGGATTTAAATACTTCAGCYACTGAACTGAAAGGAAATAAACAGCTAGGAGCTAGGAGTCTTAAATTAACAATACATTGCCTCTGCCAAAACTGCATAGTTCAAACATCTTGTTAAGGGCACAGTTTCATGCCCACATTGTTTCCCACATTACCCCTAGCCTGTCCTCTGGCTGACCTGGAATAGTACCTCAGGGAAAGCATGAAAGTCTGTGATCGTGGCCATAGGGGAAAAGAGGTACGAGAGACATACCTCTTTAACTCTTACAGGATGCTGCAAWAGCTCAGGCAGGTCAAGTCTGAGATTAGACTGACCTTTGTTAAAGGATTCCATGTTGGAAATAGTGCAACTCTCTTGTATTCCCAAACTGTTTGTAAATTTAAATCCACTCAAAGCTGAGATATTTCAAATATTCATTCAAATTCAGGATAAAAACAAACATTGAAATMGTTGAATTTTCGTGAGGTATGGAATAAGGAGGAGGGAATTTCACTCTTCCTTACAAATAATACAGCCTCCAAATAATAGTAGGTTTATCTCAGAGCTTTTTTCAAGACTGAGGTGGACATGAGAATATTTCTGTCAGTGTAAAGAAAGCTGGCCCAAGCTGCTATCCCTGAAACTTTGCTTTGGAAATTACTATTTCCAAGTCATTATTTTGTTCTATTTCTAATGAAACATTTTTCATTTCCTCTCCTCTATTATCTCTTTCCACTTTGTCCATCTTCTTCTGTGCTGTCCCATCCTTCTTAAATACAGAGTCCATCTTTTCAACTTCCAGTTCTCTAACAAAAGTGACTCTCAGCTCTTCTCAAGGGGGAAAATATAAATACTGACATTTTCAGGTACCACGTGGACACAGGAGATAGTGGATATGATTCAAAATAATGGAGATATTGAGAAGTGTAGACGTGCCAGTACTTACACGCGGCATCCTTTCATTGAGTGGTATATCCCAAAGTCTTCACCTCARAGTTACTCAGGTAAATATCATACTTACAGGTTTGGGATTTTGAAAAAATAGAACAATTTTATCCACTCAGACAGTGTCTACTGCTCACAACATGTTTCCTAAGAGAGATCTTGGTGCACTCTTGGTATTAGTTTGGTTGCCTTACTATAAATATTTAGTGCTACCCAAGCCTAGGCGAGGATGGTAGATATGACACAGGCCCCACAGGAGACCATGTTAATCTGGGACAGCATCTGAAAGCCAAGTGTGATACTCCATGGTACTTACACTGCAGCAGATACGTGTAAAATAATGAATATCACTCTGAGATTAAATTTTATATGGRACAGAAACCTGTCTTGGGTGTATTCCCAGAATGTGAATGCTATCTTCAGGGATTTTACTACTATTTTTAGTTTCTGTTAAGTTCTAGTGTCTAACTATCTAAACGTGATATCAGGCATTCAGGTATCCAGCGACTTTGACTGTTCTGCAGAGAGAGCTTACTACAAGACCCCTTTCCTCCAGCCAAGACTCCCATTCCACATTAATCTTTAAATCAGACTCTCCTCAAATGTGATGCTGAGCAGTCTCTCTGACTTTGCAGTAGGAGTGTTAATTTTTCTCTTCTAAGTCAGACTGTGTTGACATGTACAAAGAATGCCTCTCTGATACAGGAAAAAAAAAAAAAGGCAAAAAAGCAAAAAGCAAGAAATAATATGTATCTACATATTGCCACCTACTACAATGTATTTGCCTATTTCCAAAACTATTCAAAATACACTGTACAAATATTTAGAACTCCATCCATTCCTCTCCTGGCCTGACTTCCTGCATATGCCATCCAGAAAGTCTAGTCATCCAACATACTCTTTGGTATCCTAGAAAGAAACAATAGCCTCTTACCTGCAAAGAAAAKGGAGATCACTAAATGTGGTAGAAGAAAAAGATTGATCAGTTATATATAATTTGGTATTTATAATTATCCCTTGGGATGCAGATGAACTAAACATAGGTCCAGAGAATCAAAAAGAATGTGTATATGTGTTCCTCCTTTCTTCCCTGAAAACAGATAAAAATTCCATCAGAGGCACTGATGTTGCTTCTCGTTTCTTATGCCATATTGTATGTATTACACAGCCATATAATTTATAATCAGTGAAGGTGAATGGCAAAGGAAATTGCCAAAAAGTCACAGTCAAAAAGCCACATGTGAGAACCACATATGGATATAGGAGCCACATATGAGTACTAGTGAAATTTAGACAATGGTCATTCATTACAATGCAATATTCCACAGGCCTGGAATTAGCTGAAGCTATGCCTTCTCCACGAATACTGAAAACTCATCTCCCTGTGCAGCTGCTACCCCCCTCCTTCTGGGAGCAAAATTGTAAGGTAAGGTTGCGGGGTAGGACCTAAATCTACTTTACCTGGAAACAGTAAGAGACATAAAATAGTACTGAAGATGGTTTCCACAATCCTTTTGAAACCTACAGTTCTCCCCAGCAATATTCCCTTTAATATACAATGTGTGTGGGAAGTTAAAGAAGTAATGACTAAATTACACTAGTTGGATTTCAGAAAATGGTAGTTTCTAGGTAAAAGCTTTYAGATTTTTGTCACTCATGCCCCAAGAGATAACTCTAGGAGATGCTTAGTATCTATGTGGATATGTGGAATTTCATATTCCTTGTATTCATACTTTTCCTATTTCTATATCCAATAAAGATCATCTACATGGCAAGAAATGCCAAAGACAACCTGGTGTCATACTACCATTTCCACAGAATGAATAAAGCGCTGCCTGATCCTGGAAGCTGGGAGAATTTTCTTGAGAAATTCATGGCCGGAAAAGGTGATGATCTACAATGACTTGTACAAGAGATTTTGCTTATTTTAAAAATGCTTAGATCTTTTTATTTCACCTAAAGTTTGAAATCCAGTGCTGGCAGAGTGATGGAAGGGTATCTACTGAAAGTGTTTCAGGAGTAATTTATCTTCATTTGGGGGGTGGTAATAGTGCCTAAAAGATGGATGCTATCTTTACAGCCCCATTATGAAAAATGTGCTACTCTTTATTCTACCATCACATCCAATTTTCAGGTTTCAACACTGTTTTTCTTTGAGGATAAAAGAAACCTTCTTGGAAGACAGTGAGGAAAGAACAGTGATTAAATGGCTTTTTCTAGCCTTATATTCAAGATATCAAGATTTAATATGATGAAGTGTGAATTTGAGTTAAGAAAGTCTTTCGACCTAAATTTATCTGTCTAAAAGCAGGCATCACAACAAAGGCAGCYAGAGAAAGGCACCCCAAGAAGCTGATTCTTCCTTTCCTAAAAGAAGTGCCCATATTCAAGAAAGAAAAACCTATGCACGTGGATGATAGTCTGCAAWTTTTGTCAGTAAAGCTTCTGTAGGTGCTTAATGTTTTGCTGCCATGTAGGCCTAGAGACATCACTATCTTGAAAGTCTCATGTCTACAGGAGACTTTGTGTGTTGTGTTTGACCAGCTAGGATTGGTGAGTTCTCGGGAAGAAACAGGCACTTCTGCCAGCATATTAAATATTTAAATCAGACAGAATCATAGAAAAATGCAAGCTGCAAGGAAACTATGGTGGTTTTCTGTTCCAGCTCCCACCCAAAGCGGGACCAAATAAGAATGGTCCTATTCAACTGATGAGATTAATCACAGTCTAGAAATAGGTTTCTCTCCATTGTCTGTAAATGTAATAAATGTTTCATTTGATGCAAGTGTTCTGCATTTTTGGCCATTTAAAGTCAGACATGAATCCTGCTATGAACATCCCTTGCCAGAGGGATAACTAACATGACTGCTATGTACAGCACAGAGCGTAAGAGTAATGGTCACAGTGTTCCAAAGTCGACTGGGAAGAGATCAAATGCTGGTTGTAGGGCAAACAATTTCCAGAGATCACTAAGACAAACTGGGCAAAGACAGTTTTTTGGGCAAAGATATTTATAGATTGTTCATAATAGCTGATCCTTTTTTTCAGTGCTCTGGGGGTCCTGGTATGACCATGTAAAAGGATGGTGGAAGGCAAAAGATAAGCACAATATTCTCTACCTCTTCTATGAAGATATGAAGGAGGTAAAAGGCTGAATATATTTTTATAGAGTTCTATTGGAAACCTGCAGCTAACTAGTATATATACTTACATATATGTAAGTATACTTATATACTTATAGTATAGTAAGTATATATAGAGCATAGTAATATTATAAGTATACTTATATATATAATGTATATACGTTAGCTAGTACATACACTCAGCAGTTTTCAATCATAATGCCTGCTCCATCAGTAAGTCTTCAAATAATCTGATCTTTTTGTCCAGGCAACAACTGTAATTTGAACACTCTGTTTGGATTCTTTGCTTTTCCTGGCTCTGTGTCTTATCCTACTTTGTTGTCTGCACAGAATCCAAAGCACGAAATTCAAAAGATAGTGAAGTTTATGAAGAAGGATATTGAAGAGGAGGTATTAAACCAGATAATTCACTACACCACATTTGACATAATGAAGGACAATCCCATGGCAAACTACACCAAAGATTTTGTGGGAATAATGGATCACTCCATTTCCCCATTCATGAGAAAAGGTGCTGAGTTTTATTATTTCGCATCAACACTGTCTTCCTGTCTTCAGTTTGTTTCAGTTTGTTTCCTTCTGTCTTTTTGTTTGTTTTGAAATAATCCTTTACCTGAAGTGTATCTAGTGTGTTGTGGTTAATGGGCTTCAAAAAAATCCAGCAAATTGATTATTTTGCTTTATTTTTGCTGTTTTGTAGGGGTTGTTGGGGACTGGAAGAATCATTTCACTGTGGCACAAAATGAGAAATTTAATGAAGATTACAAGAAGAAAATGGCTGATACCTCTCTTGTTTTTCGCACAGAACTCTGAGCATTAGGAATGGGAATTATTCCTTGTGATCTATCAATTTTTTTCCTGTTTACATATTTTGCTTTTCTTTCACAAAATATCTGCTCCCAAGATTCCAATGGATTTCTTTCACGTGCCATTGATATTTCACTATCATACAATTGCCCAAATTACGTGGGAGTTTAGGCTGCACTGCCTGAAGAAAACAATGACTCCCTGGATACCTCTCAATYATCTCTCCTATGGTAATCTTCAATACGACTAATAATATTTCAGATAAGTTTTCAGCTTCTGTCACTGTAAAACTGTATTTTGTATTGCTGGCATATTCAAATCAATCTCTAACACTAATTAAAGACAAATGGGGGAAAAGYGTTAACAAAGTAAAAAAGATGGTGCTAACACTCTATGTTATTCTCTTGCTGTACAAATGTTAATCAATAAATGCCACTAAACAAATTTTAAAGATGGTAAAGGATAAGCAAAGCAACAGAAATAAACAAAATAGATTTTTTTTTCTTGTTTTAGCTGGACATCATAAATGCCACTGAGATGAAAGGAGCATTTCCAGTACACATTATGCCCATCGAAACAGCATTCCTAAAGGGCTACCTGCAGGCATTTAGCTATAATCTAGATGTGAAGGTTGTTGTTCCTACTGCAGTAAGACAAAGAGCTTTCCTCACTGTTGCCCTTTGGATAGCTAATATTCTGCTAATGCTTAGAAAATTCTGAAGGTTGCTATGAAGGAGGTCTAGAGTCAGTGCTGCATATGCTCATTCCTTCTTCTTCATCTTTTCACACGTATTCTTCAGGTGCATCATGCTATTCCCTCCTCCTTTCCTTCATTATTCTCCTGTTGAATAAGCAAACATATAAAGCTCTCAGTTAAGACTTTAAGTTGCAGTAGAGCCTGACCAGATCTGCTTCAGCGTTAGCAGCAGTGCTATGGCCATTCCTTGAGCTGTAGCAAAATAATTAAAATAACTTGTAGTCCATTTAATTATAGACAACTCTTTACATATCTTGTTTTTAAAGGACTGCGATTTGAACTCATCACACACATGCAAAAAAAAACCCYGAAGAGTTACAGTCTCACTGAGTTTACTTGCTGAATATTAGAGGGAAAATAACAGAGACTGCAGCATCTGCAGGAAAATGATATCTTAGTCTGGACATGGGCAGTCAGCTTAGCACGTTAAAAAAATAATAATAAATAATAAAAAAAGAGGTGTTTGTTCTTTGACCAGCAGAGGGTTTCAGGGATCTGTAATAGCAGGAACTGATGATGTGACTGCTGTGCTGATGCGCACAGTCCACTTCCAGCTAGAGGTTTAATGTAAATATCTAAATTGAAGGCAATTCTCTAACTTGCATCAAGTTTGGAAACAATCAAATGGGAAAGCTTGCTGGTAAAAGGTATGGTGTCAGATCCTGGACCTTTGAGTGTGCCCTAAAAGCCCAGGAAATACTGGAACTGGAACTAGTCATTTACCACACTGGTGTAGGTATGGGCATTTGAATGGCTTTGAGTCAACAGAGGTTCCTGCCTATTTATAAAATATGTCTCAATAAACTGAATACCTGAGAAAGAAAMTTCCATCAGACATGCTGCCTTTCCATGCAGGCAACACATCAGCCTGAGGAGCTCTCTGCCACTTCTCTGATTTTGCTGATGTTCAACTTATTTTGCTATCAGCACTAAGAGGAAAAAGCACTGCCTGCTCGCTGGCACATTTCTGTTCTCCTGGGTCCCTCCACAAACCCCCAACAATCAGCTCAGTTTGGGAGTCTAGCCCTAAAGTGTCCTAAAAGCCACCAGAATAGGGTAAATGTGCAGAGTGAGGTGACATTTTATGAGTTGTGCTGTAGAGAAGGTGACACAGATGACCCCTTCGCTCTTTCTTAGAAAGGAGGGATCTATCAAAAGCGCAAAAGGGCCAAGGCTGGTGCAGCCCCATCTGTGCAGCCGCACCAAGCACGGAGGCACCATGGAGCAGCCTCCSCACCCAACGTCCACCTTTGCTCTCCCCTTTTCAGGCAAATCCTCGCCTTTGCCCACCTGGAATTCAGCCGCTCTGAACAACCACTGGAGAGTAACACAGGTCCAGCAGAGCAGACCAGGAACAAAGGAGGTAAAAAAAAAACAAAAATAAAAAAACACTAGATGTGCAGTTACGCAACAGCAGGATTTCCTTATCTTATTGATCTTATACAAACTCAAACACAGAAATATTAACCTTTAAGAAAAAATATACCTGGCTAAGGCCGGAAAAGGAGGGTGGATCTGTTTTTATGCTTTCTGGAGCCAGCATAACTAAGACCAAGCTGTGGATTCAGTCACAATTTGTAATGTGATATTAACTGCACTAGTGCAAACTGTGCCAGTGCTTTAGGAGACCTRCTTGTTATCAGTGAGACTGACTAGACCTGCACCTACTGGGAAAGGCTGGGGAAAAGATTACAAGGTTTTAGGCATCCCTTGGCAGGGCCTGGAGAGTATGGCAATAAACAGAGATGTGCGTATGCTTCTGAGAGGGGGCCTATATCTAAGGCGCTTTTAACTTACATATCTTTATGTTTGCCAGCTCGTATGTATGGAGGAGCTTTAAATGGCATGTGATAYAGAGGTTAGTTATTAATTTTCTAGTCAGTTTAAAGTATCATCAAGTTTCCTGTGCGAACAAAGGACTTTGTGATTACTGTGAAGTGCAGARCTCTAGTTGGAGATACACACTGAATATCCTCCGATGCATTATTTTCATATCTAGAGGCATGATTTAACTAAGTCACTTACACACGTGCAACTTTTTAACGCCAGTTTAAACAGCATCAGCTTAACTGATTTAACKCCTCAGCAGCTGCTTTAATGTTGCTTGTCTCTTCCTCTATAAGAAAGTATTCCCATAGTTTTRATGACTCAGAATCCTTTTTATTCATTTCCAGCAAATATTTGAGAATTATTGTTTATTAATATGTACTACCTACTCACATAGCCTGTTTTATAGCTATACAGTAACAATTATCAAAACAAATCTTCTCAATGGAGTGCAAGAAGATTCTTGCTTTGACATGGGTTTTTTAACAGAACTGAAGATAAGTAAGGTTTAATTCTAAAGAAGTCACAATTTCCTAAAGGGAAATTGTGTCTCCCTGTCTTGAGCAACTTAGAGAGTCATTTTACTACCACATGGAGTGCAAACGTTTATGAAGCTGACTGGAAAAAGCACTGAACTTCAAAAAAAGTAAAAAAAAAAAAAAAAAAAAAAAAAAGGAAGAGGCAGAGAATGGGTATATTCTGTGTTCTTACCTTGTATTCCAGAATAGAAGAAACACTAGCTTACATTCTACTAATTTTAACTTAGATGATCACCTTCATGCTCGGATTGAAAGTTATTATTTACACAGTCAGAAAATGGACCACAGACAGAAAGCAGCATTTTTTCCACTCATCATATACATATATGTGTGTAAACAAAAAATATGATTTTTATAATGATTTGACTTATGCCAACATGTTTAGAAGGCATCTTATCTTTACAACAAGGTTAATTATTATTTTGGGAATATTTCAGAGTTGAATGAACAGTATATTTTAGCCTGGCCTCGAAGCCTCCATTTCTCTCGTGACCTCGTTGAGTGATGCAAGCCCTTCTCCAATGTGGGCTGTAGGTGAGAAGAAGAAAGAAAGAAAGAAAGTAGGAGCACTTCATACGCATGGGATGTATCCAAACTGTACTGCTAGACCATAGGCTTGGGCTGCCTAACAAGGTGACCTGTTCAAGATCTGCTTGCCCTCCAAACCAAGCGCCCACTTAGGCYCTGTGTGGATGGAGCAGGAATGTTGTCATGTGGCGGCACCCCATGGTCCACTTTGAAGAGGCAAATTAGTCCTGGTTCATATCCTGGAAGGGTTTCAGCATCACCTGCTGCAAAGAAGGGCAGCTGGAATTTATAACTAGTGGGATTTCAGCCTGGCTTTAGGTGGAGTGTGAAGGCTCCGAGCTGAACCATGGGCATTTACCACGTGGTCATGGAGCCCATATGTCAAAGTCTAGTGGCTCTGTACTGGTGGGGGCAGAGTCTTAGACCCTTGAAAATGCATGCAAGGAAATTTAGAAAACTTACTAAATTAGAGCCTCTTCATTCACAGCAACCTGTTGTTCTACTGATAACCCACGCTGGTCTATATTTGCTATGGTTTGTGCATATCAGATTTAACAGTGCTTTTGTGTTCAGCTAACAAAGCAACAGTCTTAACAGCCAGACCCAACCCTATGTGCTCAAACAAAATGTTCATTTCCTTGTTTCAGTTAAAAATTAATCTTTGAACACACTTAGTGGGCTCTGCAGATTAGTAGTAGAAGAGTAAACTTCTTGTACCTCAGTGTCCTAATACAATTTAAGACTAGAATTAAAGAATATGTAAACAATTTCTTCCTTAATGTTAAATAATTAATTTAACCCCTCAAAAACAAAGCAGCAGAGAGATAGATATATCAGGCAGTACTATCCCTGCATCTTACTCATACAAACATTAATATAAGCACCCTGCTTATATTCTGCTCCCTTTTGCACCCCTTAAATTTTTCACTATACCTACGGTCTATTCAGTTCCACTAGAGGAAATACCCTACTGAGCCCAAGTCAACAAAAAGGCCATAGCTAGCACAAGAAGTTAAGGTTCATCTGCCTAGGGAAGAGAGAATATTAAGTTTCCAAATAGTGAGTCAGTAAGAACAGCTAAAAATACATTAATTCATACTTTGCCTTACTTTACACTRCTTTTTCATATATAAAAGACATAAAAACTGCTTAAAACAAAAATGCAGACACAGTTAATTCTCCAAAGCTGTCAAAAATCAGATTCTACAATTACAATTGYTTAAAGTATGAGTTCTGTAAGCTGAAGACACATTCACTGGCTGCAAAATTATAGCAACTTTCTCATTCCATACAGTTCAGAAGATTCCTGCCAGTCTAATAAATTGCAATGATGGTGAACAAGCATTTGTACACCACCTCAGAGGAATAACTAATCCCAATCCTACAGAACTTGGCCTTTCAATAAAAGCAGAATTTAAAGTTTGCTATGCAGTGCCCCAAAGCATCTCATGAATGTCTGTGCAATCTTGTTTTACATTAAGAAAAAGCTATTTAAAAAGATGACTAATTGCCCTTAAAAAAGATAATAAAATTATAAATACATGGAACATATAAATTATTCTTTTCTCATTTATCTTGTCCCAAATTAACTGTATGCAATATATATCATCCTAGTTTCTCATGGATGGATAAGACATACAATTCATAATCTACTTAAGAAAATTATGTAGAACGATTGCAAGTATGAATAACAGTTTTTTTCCCATGAAATATGGATCATGTACTTTATTGTAA